TTGCATGTGAGACAATCTAATTTACTGAATTTTCCTTTACCAAGGGTGTGATTATCGGATGTTACTATATTGGCAAAGTTGCTGTTTGATACTTAGATAATCTATTGTTATGCTACATTTTCCAGTAGAGTTGATGTTCTACCAATTCTTCTTTCTTTTGTATCTGTGTAACTGGGTGTAAGAATAAAGTGTGTTTTACTTAAAGCTGAGTAGTGTGACCAATTAAATTACACCTGGAACACAACACCTTACACTTGCCTTTAAATAGGATAAAAGTTAAGGTCTAGACTATCACCTTTGTATATTTGAAGGGGGTTTGGTCTGCTCCATAACAATATCAAGAGCCATGAGCGCAACGGTCTGTACTTCCATCGTGGCCTAAATCTTTGATGCAGAATGGAAGACGTTTGTGCTTCAGTAGAAACTGTGATATTGGCCAATAGATGCTGTAGCATGATAGGTTCCACATGCTTGCTGATGGAGGGGAATGCCCTACTTTATTTTGTTCAGATGGGGAATGAGTGTACAGCCAATTGACTAGTGGAAGATGTATCCAGAATGTTAGCGTGCTTGCCGTACAATGCTTATCACCATGTGAGTTCCCTAACCTCATCTGTGAACTCACCCTTGAGTGAAGAGAAAGGTTGGTTTGAGGGATGGTGTGTAGGATTGGAAGCAAGCCGCCCCAGATCTCCCCATCAGCAGCTTGCTTATCTTGCTACATAGTAGGCTGAGGGCGAACTGAGATTTAAGTGATGGATGAATACCGCATTACTTTGTGTTCTCAGCAATATTGTATCCTCGACCCATGCAACTAACCCCATGATGCAGAGAACCATCTCCTCTGTACGGTTTCAGTAGATGTAGACATTCTTGTCTGATTTTGTTCTGTCCTCCATTCTATTATCTACCAACTTCTCCTCCAAGGAAGAGGGCAGAATGTCAATGGATGTGTATTACTCTGTTTAGGTGATGAGCCAGTCATAGCTGCATAGTGAGGTGTATGTGGAGATATTGAGAGGTGAGTGTAAGGCCGGCAGCATTGATTGATGTGTGAGGCGTCATGAAGCATTTGGATGTTAGGCTGAATCCTCAGTTTCAAGGATTTCTGGGGTATGGTGATATGATCAGCATGAGATGCTGGCGTTCTTCATAGAGAGTCTCCTGACCTTTGGTTGCAAAGTTAAATAGCACATGGAGCAGTAGTAAGAGGAAGCCTCCATTACAACTTTATTAAATCTTTATTAAAATTACTTTTGTAACTTTGCGTTTTGTTCTTTCAGCCTGTTGCCATTATTGGCAATAATGGATTGAACTTACACTGTTTTAGATTAGCACTGATTAAATTTGCAGCCATACAATAACTTATTTTTCTGTCTTTCTAAAATGTTACTTATTTTTTGAATTGTAGGTGAATTTGAAAGAATGTGAGACCTTTGATTTGAGGCTCATTAAAGGCCCTTCAGATTATTTGTCTCTAGCCAATAGCACTGAAGCTTTAGAAAAGATTGAAGCATGTATGAAAGTGTGGATCAATCAAATTGAGCAGGTAATGTTAAAATGTTTTCTATCTGTTCTGGAGACCTTTCTTGCATAACCTCATGTTTACAGATGACAGGGTGTGACTCATTAAGGATTTTATCCAAAACTGGTCTCTGTGCTCTATGGTGGGGCATATTTCCACATGACTCAAAAATACCAGGCTAAATGGATGGATAACTGGGTAGGTCCAGTATAGAGAAGAATTGTTGTAGGTTTTAAACATTTTTAAAATATGTTAGTCTTATACTTTACAAACATTCACATGAACTCAAATTAAGTGTTTTGTATGCTCAGACATTTTTGGATCACATTATTTGTGGTTGATATTCTCCTACAGCTTGTTTTTGCCTAAGGAACTAATGTAAGAATACAGATGTTAAGAGATGATTATGAATAAGACCACATCTCACTGTTCAAAATAGCATTTCATGTCATTTTTGAGTTTTTTTCTCCTGATTTGATTCTTTAGTATGCTTTGTTTTGTATGAGAGGAAACAATTTGTTCTCAGGCTCACAAATGGTGGCCTGCAATGGTATGATTCTGAGTGTGTATATTATAATGGTACCTAAATGTGAATTCCAGTTTTCCTTCGAAAATAACTCCTCTTCTTTATGTGAGATCAAGTGCTCAACACGGGAACTTATAGGATTACGGTGCTCTTTAGAACAACCTGCTGGTGTATGCTGTGCTGACGGGATTTCCTTTTAAAACATTTAAATAGATACACCGACTGAGGTTGTCATAAAGCACTTTTCAAAGCATTTAGCATTTTCAACAAGAATTTAAAGAAAGACTTCTAAACAAGAATTCTGAACTCTCGAAAGAAAATGCATTTCTTCAAAATAAATTTTAATCTTGTCCAACCATTTCTCCTGAAGCCATTCACTCATTGCTGTGATACAGTTATGTAGTGCTGGTTGCCTTGAATGTACCCCACCTAAGTTGGTTTTTTTTATTTCCATGTATGATTAAAATTCTGCTGAAGTGTAACACAACAAAAGTAAGCAAATAATTTGGAATCCACTGCTAGAATGGATTCAGAAGTTACTTTAATTTTGTTAATGAGGCCATTTTATTGTGCCCACTGGAAACTTGGGCAGGACTACCTTGAAACATTATTGAGACTGAACGATGGAAGGCTTCAATAATGGAGGCACAGTGAACAGAGTATCCAACCATAGCAGTTTAAATACATGTAGTGCTTATGACGTTGTTACGTTCAGAGGGGCTTCTAAGGTACATTATGAAACAAAATTTGACACCAAGATCATGTGATCTTTGAACAAGTAGGCAAAAGCTTGGTCAAAGGGGTAGCTTTTAAAGTCCATCTTAAAGGAGGAAAGAGCTGTGAGGAGTTGCAGAAAGGGAATTCTGAAGCTTGGGAGGGAACTTTGAAGGCACAGCCACCATGATGAGACAGTCAAACTAGGAATGCTCATGAGGCTAGGATTAGATGAGTGCTGATATTTTGGAGGGTTGTGATGCTGGAGAATTATGCGGAGATAGGGAGGAACCTGGCCACTAAGTACTTGAAAACATGGATGAAAGTTTTAAAATTGCCATTACTTAACTGCGATCCCAATGCAGATCAGCAACACAGGGGTAAAGGGCAAGCAGCTCTTGGCATGGGTAAGGATAGGGCCAGGAAAGTTTTGAATGACCTCATGATTACGGAAGTTAGAATGCCAGCAGGAGCTTTTGGAGTATGTTGGAACTGTTGAGTCTGGAGGTAATAAAGGCACAGATGAAGTTTTCAGTAACACACAGGGGGAAGACAGGGGTGAAGTCAAGCAATGGTACAGGGCTGCAAACAGATGGTTTTACTAACAAAAGGTATGTTGGGGAAATATTTTGGGAAAATACATGATATCGAGATTGTGAACAGTCACTTTTAGCCTCCAGCGGTTGCCTTGGAAAGGGATGCAATCAAATCGCTAAGGAATGGAGATGATAGCTTCGATATTCCCAATGTTTATCCATAGGATAGTTCAGCTCATTCAGTACTAGGTGTCTGATGCACAGCCTGATTATGTATCAGCCGTGGTGGGGTTGAAAGAAGTAAAATTGAGGTAAAGCTGGGTGTCAGCAGTGAACATGGAAACCTAACCCTGCATTGGTGACAACATTCAAAAACAGGGAGTATGTCGATGAGAACTTGGAGTAGGTTTAATTCAGATTATTGTGGGACACCGGAAGTAATGGTATGGAAATGGTAAAAGAAGCCAATGTAAGTGATACTCTGGCTACAGACAGATAGAAAACAATGGAACCAAGTGGTTGGCATTAAGAGCACAGATTCACTACCCTCTGAGAGAAAAAAATCCTCCTATTTGTGAATTAAATGTGTGATCCCTTATTCTGAGATTATGCCCTCTGGCACTAGACTCTCCCACACAGGGAAACAACTTATCTTCTCCTAACCTATCAAGTTTCCCTAAGAATCATGTACTTTTCAATAAGGTCATGACTCATTCTTCTAAATTATGATGAGTACAGACCCAACCTACTGAACCTGTCCTCATAAGACAGTTGCTCCGTACCTAATATCAGCCGAGTGAATCTTCTCTGAACTACCTCCTCTGCCACTATGTCTTTCGTTAGACAAGGGGCCCAAAACTATTCACAGCATTCCAGTGTGGTCTAACTATTTCCTTGTATACTTCTGGCAAAACTTTCCTACTTTTATACTCAAGTCCCTTTGCATTAAAGGACAACATTCTATTTGCCTTCCCTATTAATCCCTGCTGAATTTAGATGCTAGATTTTTATGATTCACGGATAAGGATTCCTAAATTATTCTGTCCCGTAGATTTCTGCAGTCTTTCTCCATTTAAACAATTTTCAGTTCCTCTATTCTTCCTGCCAAAATTCATAGCCTCAATTTTCCCACGTTATATTCCATCTGCCAAGTTTTTCCCCACTCACTTAACCTGTCCATAGCCCTCTGCATACTCTTTGTATTTTCCTGATAACTTACCTTACCACTTATTTTTGTGTCATCTACAAGCATTCACTGCCCTCATAAAAGTCATTAATATATTTTATTGCACCCAGCCAGATGCCTTTAGCAAAATACTAGAGGAGGAAGGTCTGGTCAACTGTGTCAAAGGCTGTCAACAGGCCAAGCAGGATGAGGAAGGATAGTTTATCTTTTCACAGCTACATAGGGTTTCATTTGTAATTTGGATTAAAAAGCAGTTTCTTCAGCGTTTTTGTGAAATGTGGTACTGTATGAATATTGTCAATATAATACTGAACTGTAACTATTCCATTTTCGATCACTCTGCATTTCCAGGTTCTTGCTGAAAGTGAGCAATTGCGTAAGGAAGCTGATGATCTAGGTCCACGTGCAGAACTGGATCATTGGAAGAAAAGAATGTCAAGGTTCAATTATCTACTTGAACAATTAAAGGGTCAGGATGTGAAAGCAGTACTTGGAGTTCTCACAACAGCAAAGTCTAAACTTCTTAAGGTGCTTCCTCTGGTCTTTTCCATTGCTTGAACTTTTCAAAAGATTAGAGTGTAGGTGACAAAGGGGGTTGGAATTACATCTTTTCATCTTACAATCCAGTATAATAATGATGTTAAAGCTGAGTGCAAAGTTTTGTACATATCAGGGCAGGGTAGCCATTTCCTTTAGTATAAGTATTCTCAGGAATTTCCCTGATGTGTACAAGGTAAAAACTTTGAACAAAATGTGTATTTTTTCAGCACCCTCAAGCTCTGTGCTATCAAATAACTATAAATTTTGTATCAATAATACTGATGCTTCTTGCATGGTATTACTCAGCAATGTGGGGTTAGTGCTGTTTTAAAGCAATAATGTGACAAATAATAAATGCTGGGAGACACTTATATACAGTGAATGAATGCATTAAATAGTCTGCTTATTACATGGTATTTGGAGATTACTATATCCCTTTGTTGTGTTTGATTGACCTCAAGTAGTTACTTTAATGATCTCTGGTTAGGCTGTTCAACACATGTACAAAAGCGTGCTCCAGTAATATGCACCAGAAATTGTAGTTAGAGTCCTATATCTGGGGTAGATTTCTACTTGCAAAAATACACAATGTCTGACCAGAAACAGTTGGATCCATTTTGAGCTCTGCCTTAATATGGTTCAGGCAGGCCTTGGGCATCAGTGGATGGACGTGCTTGTGATGCACCTCTGTTTTAAAATCTCCCCCCTTTGTTTCTTTATGCATTGTCAGTCTGATATGTATTTATTAGTGGAACCTATTGGTATTTTCATAGGCTTCCGTACCCCTCATTATAATCTTTACCAACTTTAAACATGCATTTCCAATAGCACTTGTTTTTGTTTCATGGCTATTCTGTCCCTGATCATGATGTTCTCAGCTCTGATCTCCAGCAGTTTATCCTCATATCTGGTCTAACCTGACCATTTTCATTTACTAAATTTAATAGCATCCATTGCCTGTCAAAATCATCTAATTCAGTGTGTGTTGAAAGTTCCTGTGCTTTCTCGTGCAAAACCATACATTTTATTTCACTTTAGTTAGCAGTAAACCATAGTTACGTGTCATCGCTAGTTTGTTAGAGGTAACTTTCCTCTTTGTAAACATCATGCATTAAACATGTGTCTCCATATTACTTAAATTTTCTCTTCTGATCCATTTTACATCATGTCCTATGCCTCCACCTTAGCTTGACTAATGACAGTTTAAGTTAACTGAGTGCTTATTTGCAACATCCCTGAATTCTGTCATTCTCTTGAACGTGGGTAATTCCTTGAACTTCTGATTTTCACAGATGCTTTCTTTTTGATTTCTGTTTCCTCCACAATCTCCTTAGAACCCAGTCTCGTTTAAGGTTCTCTTTGCCAATGTTATCCTTTTTAAACTTTTTGAAATTCACATCTCCTGTTGGAGTATGTAATTGTTTCAGATCAGGTTCGTCAGCATTACATGCCTCGGTTTTCTGAAGCCTTTCAAAGTGCAGTGTCATCCTGACACACAATGAAGAATCCCTTTGTCTTCCTAACTTTTTTCCTTACTCTCTCTCTTTGGGTTCCATCTTCAGCTATCTGCTCACTTGTCTCCTGTCATCAACATAAATACCATCTTTCCTCGATGCTATCAGTTCTGAAGAAGGGTCACTGAACTCAAAATGTTAACTCTGTTTTATATCTACAAATGCTGCCTGACCTAATCAATGTCTCTTGCAATTTCTGTTTTTGTTTGGGATTTCCAGCATCTGCAGTTCTTTTTTTAAATTACATCAGTTGTTATATGGTGTACATCTTTAGGGAGTGATAAGCAGATATAGCCTCAGTGAAATTGACTCATGAGTGGTTGTTTTTTTGCATAAAGTAGGAAAAAATTTGCCTTCATACGAATTACTGTTAACTGCCTTCTTGGTTGGTCAAAATAATTCTGCATTGTCCATTGTAATTCTAGACCTGGCGAGAGCTGGACATTCGAATCACTGATGCAGGTAATGAGGCTAAAGATAACGTGAAGTACCTGTATACGCTAGAAAAATTTTGTGATCCATTATACAACAATGATCCAGTAAGTATTTACAATTTCCTACTTCTGGTAATAAATGAATAGAACTCAACAATGGTTACAGTAAAGAACAAGTCAACTTGGCTCACTGTGCCAAACCCACCAGCTGGACGAGCATGTCTACAACCTCATCCAGCTGTATGTTTCTGTGGCATGTTTAATAAGCAATCTGTGTGCAAATCCAGCAAAATCTTTTTAGTACGATTGAACCTGAGGGTGAGATGTTATTTATGCAAGGGAAGTTGCAGACTGGCTTAAATTGAATATAATGTTCAGGAACTCACAACATCCTGGCTTTTGCACAGATTTATGCAGTAATTATGCATTTAAAAGAAATATTTGCCTGTAATGTTGACTCACCATTACTTTTTGAGTGAGATTCATCTAATTATAAAGCAAAATGTGACAGAATTCAGATAACCATATAAAGATTTTTAACCAACTTGTCTATTCAACTTTAATGTAGGTTTCCATGGTGGAAGCAATCCCGGGGCTAATCAATGCAATTCGAATGGTTTATAGCATCTCCTGTTACTATAATACTTCGGAGAAGATCACTTCTTTGTTTGTAAAGGTACAATGCCAAAGTTACAACGCTTTTGTAGGATAATTGTTCAAGATTCCTTAAGTGAGAATACAAAAGGAAAATAAATAAAATTCCATACATTCAGATAGTCATTATTTATAGCATATAGTATTTTTTCCAGATTGCTTGATTTGTACCCTAATGAAGATGAACAAATGAGAGCAATACTTTTTGACTGAATTGATATTGGTACATTGATTTGTTGATTTCCAGGTGACCAATCAAATGATAACAGCATGTAAAGCACACATAACAAATAATGGGACAGCTACAATTTGGGATCAACCACAAGAAGTGGTGGTTAAAAAACTGAAGTCTGCCATTCATTTAAATCAGGTAACAATGATATCCTGAAATAATGAACTATTTTGAAGTTTCAATGAGATCACCTCTCATTCTTTGAAACTGTACAGAGAACAGGTTTGGTTTGCCCAGTCTCGTTTTATAGAACTGCCCTGCCATCCCAAGAACTAGTCTGGTGTACTTTATTACAACTCCCTCCATGGCAATAATATATTTCCCGAGATAAGGAGACCAAAACTGCGCAAGTACTCCAGGTGTGGTCTAACTGAGCTCCTATCCAATTGAAGTAAGTAAGGTTAGATCACATGGAACCCAGGAGGAGCTAACCAATTGGATACAAAATTGGCTTGAAGGTCGTAAACAGAGGTTGGTGGTAGAGGGTTGCTTTTCAGACTGGAGGCCTGTGACAAGCGGTGCGCCACAAGGAACGGTGCTGGGTACACAGCTTTTTGTAATTTATATAAATGATTTGGATGTGGATATTGGAGATATGGTTAGTAAGTTTGCAGATGGCACCAAAATAGGTAGTGTAGTGGATATTGAAGAAGATTATCTCAGACTACAATGGGACCTTGATCAGGTGGGCCAATGGAGTTTAATTTAGATAAATGTGAGGTGTTTCATTTTGGTAAGGCAAACCAGGGCAGGACTTATACAGTTAATGATAGGGCCCTGGGGAGTGTTGCCAAACAAAGAGACCTAGGGGTGCAGGTGCATAATTCCTTGAAAGTTGAGTTGCAGGTAGATAGGGTGGTGAAGAAGGCATTTGGCATGCTTGCCTTCATTGGTCAGAATTTTGAATATAGGAGATTGGGCGTCATGTTATGGCTGTACAGAACATTGGTAAGGCCACTTTTGGAATAATGTGTTCGATTCTGGTTGCCCTTCTATCGGAAGAATGTTATTAAACACAAGCGGGTTCAGAAAGGATTTACAAAAAAGCTGTTGCAAGGACTGGAGGGTTTGAGTTATAGGGAGAGGCAGAATGGGCTGGAGTTCTTTTCACTGGAGTGATGGAGACTGAGGGGTGACCTTATAGAGGTTTACTAAATCATGACGGGCATGGAAAGGGTGAATAGCCAAGGTCTTTTTCCTAAGATGGGGAGTCCAAAACTAGAGGGGCATAGGTTCAAGGTGAGAGAGGAAATATTTGAAAAGGACTTAAGGGGTTACATTTTCATGCAGAAGGTGGTGCATGTAGGAGGGAGCTGCCAGAGGAAGTGATGGAGGCTAGAACAATTACAACATTTGAAAGGCATCTGGATGGGTGTATGAATAGGAAAAGTTTAGAGGGATATCGGCCAAATGTTGGAAAATCGGATTAGGTCAGATTGGGATGTCTGGTTAGCGTGGACAAGTTGGACCAAAGGTTCTGTTTCTGTGCTGTGTGACTCTGACTCTGAGACTTCACTACTGCCGTGGGCTGACAAGTTTATTTACTGTGTAAGTCAATGAACAGAAAACAGATTTTAAGGGGCATTGCTTAGTTTATGTTAAGAAAACGGGTTCGGTTTCTCTGCAATTACTTGGCCTCTCACCTTTCTTCATTGCTGGATTCAAACTGAAGCCGGGATTGAAAAGTGCAAAGTCTTCAGCATTAAGATTGTAAGTGGACAGCTTAAATTCTAGACATTCATGTACTTGACAAGTAAAGCCATTTACTTAATTCTATTTTGCATGTTTCAAGTATTAAAGAAAATCTATATTCGAAAATTCACACCATTTGAAGGGATTGTATTTTGTACTTTTTAGGAATATCAACGCTGTTTCCATAAAACAAAGCAAAAACTTGAACAGAACCCCGCAGAAAGGCAGTTTGATTTCAGTGAGATGTATATCTTTGGCAAATTTGATACATTTCAAAGACGCCTGAACAAACTTATTACAATGTTTAACACAGTAACTGAATTCTCTGCTCTCGAGGATTCCAAAATTGAAGGATTGGAGGAGCTGGCTGCTAAATTTCAGGTAGTCTTGAAGCTTGTTGTAAATAAGGATATTCAAGAAATACTCATGATAATTAAATGTTATTTGTGTTCTCAATGTCTAGTGAATTAGTGCACAGTGTCTTGGATTCCTCCCGGTGAGTTCCAGTTTTGGTCCTATAGTGTGATGTGGAGGTGCTGGTGTTGGACTGGGGTGGACAAGGTCAAAAATCACACAACACCAGGTTATAGTCCAACAGGTTTATTCGAAAACACAAGCTTTTGCAGCTTCTGTCCTTCTTCAGGTGTTAGTGAGAGAGGTAGTATCAGACACAGGATTTATCACTAATGGATGAAAAGTTCACATCATTGACGAGGATGTACTAAATAAACCTGAGATGCTGTTAAATCTTTAATCAGTTAGAAGGTTTTAATTGATTAATATGTATATGTAAATCCCCGAATTCCTTACAAGTCACAATCCTGAGAGAACGAAAAGTTTTATCAGTGTGAAAAAGAAGTAAAGTCTACCTTGGAGGACGTTTACCTGAAGATCCGACGCCGAATGTCAGATCTTCGACATGGATGCTGTCGTCACACATGGGAACACCACCCACCACATGCACGACAACTATTCATGTGACTTGGCCATGGTACATTGGGAAAACCATGCAGACGCTATGACAACGAGTGAATGGACACTGCGCAACAATCGCCAGACAGGGATAATCCCTCCCAGTGGAGGAACACTTCAGCGGTCAAGGATATTCGGCCTCAGATCTTCAGGTAAATGTCCTCCAAAGTGGACTTCGAGATACACAACAACGTAGAGTTGCCAAGCAGAGGCACCCATGAGGACGGCCTCAATCTGGGATCTTGGGTTCATGTCGCACTACAGATGACCCCAGCCACACCATACACTCTCACACGCACCCACACACACACATACACACACACTCACTCACACTCACTCACACAAATGCACTCACTCCCACAACCCCAACACACACAGACACAGACACACACACACACACACACACACACACACACACGTCAATGTATGGGGTGAATTTGTGTTTGCAGTTACATTTTATCTTGTTCAAGAGGCGCACAGTTTACAGACAGTTAATATACCGTTTTATAAATTCCTACTTTAGAAATAAAACCAGTCTGACTCCAAGCCAAAATACAAACAACTTCTAAACGAGGTCTCACACCTAACATGCGTTGTCTGACTTAAAGTGTCACCTCTTCTTTACACTGATAAAACCTTTAGTTCTCTCAGGACCATGACTTGAAAGGAATTTGGGGATTTACATGTACATATTAATCAATTAATACCTACTAACTGATTAAAGATTTAACAGCATCTTAGATTTGTTTAGTGCATCCTCATCGGCGGTGTGAAAGTTTCATCTTTTACTCAGAAATTCTGTGCCTGATACTACCTCTCTCACTAACACTTGAAGAAGGACTGAGGCTGCAAAAGCTTGTGTTTTCAAATAAACCTGTTGGACTATAACCTGGTGTTGTGTGATTTCTGACCTCATATAGTGTGAGAAGAGGTGGGGTAGTGGGTGCTGACAGTTGTGTCTGTAAGTTAACAGTAAGTAGCTAGATACTGTGCACAATTGGAGGATTGTAATTATTTGCTTTGCGTTCCAAATGCAAGATGGTATCATTCAAGATCGCTAAAGTCATCAGTCCTGGAATCTCTAAGCCATGTTAATTAGCCAAGCATTGCTCAACTGTTATGGGAAAGAGAAAAAAATTCAAAGCAGCTTATTAAAAGAAAAAGGTGACAAGTATTTTGTCACCTTCAGATTTCCTTTTTCTATCACTTTTAATCTCAATTTATTCACAACATTTATGTTCTTATGGAGTCAGTATGGTCGTAATATGAATTTGCCGGTCTGCGTGCATCAATATCTGAATAAATGGGATTTTCTAATGAATGTAACCTAGGAATTAAGTGTAAAAGTTTTCTTGCAAGAAACTGGATAGATTTATGGATGTACAACTATCTGTCAAGATATTTATGTGTTAGCCTTGCCTTCCCAAAAGGAACTTGGTGAAAATATAATCAATTGAGGTTCGTCTTAAATTCACAATATTTTGCTTTACTGAGATTATGTGGAAAAATAGGGTACGCAGATATTTTCATTGGTTGCTTGAATGATCTGCTACCTCAAATGCCTTTAGCAATGTTGAGTACTTTATTCTATTTCAGAGTATTGTGATTAATTTGAAGAAAAAGCAGTACAACTTCTTAGATCAGAGGAAAACTGATTTTGACCAAGATTATGATGAGTTTTGCAAACAAACTGATGATGTACATGTAAGTGCTATAATTTACTTTGTTAATACTCAGCATGTTATTTAGGAGTCAATCAACATTTTGTATATATTTGGTTTCTGAAATTATAACCAAGTGGATAGCAATTTTTTTTAAAAACTGCCTATTCGTCGCAGAGCTGGCCATAAATTCCTCTAAAGTTTGTGACTACGATTTTCTGTTTTTCTTGCTCTTCTTTAAACTTCGTGTAGGTTTTTGCTTTTTGCCTCACAGTTCTGTTCATTTAATTTCATAACCTTGCAGTTATAGTTTGAACTAGTCCAGTTGTTTCTTGACCACTATGCCTCATAACTATGTCCTTGATAAGTTGCTGTCAAAGAATACAATTAATATATCAGGTGATTGTTATGGCAACAAATGATCTGAATAATTCACTATACTTTGGAACTCAAATACTTTCTTTCTTACTTTTCAGCATAGTTCAATTATTACGTGTGTAGATTACAAAAGAAAATGCCTGTATTCAAACTAGTCCTACTGGCGTTCTTATAATTATAATTGTGTTCCTAGTTCTTAGTGAGATTTCATCGTGCTTCTTGGACCAATGAGAACCTTTTGTTTTTATTGAAATGAAAAATTAACATGAAGAGCTGATTAGTCATGAATTTCTTTCATGAATTGCCATGATTGTTATAATACTACATTGTAAAATGCAAATATTTTTCGCATCAGAGCTTTGTCTTGGACATATGTGGTTGTTGTTAACAGGAAAGATTAAAAAAAAAGCACACTCAATTAAATTTATTGAAGTGATATTGTAAATGGAGGCTTTTTGTTATATAGATATGTAAAATCAGATACTTGTTTTTATCAGTACAAATTCTATTTACTTGTATTACTTTTTATTAATAAGTTGCAATGAGGTTTTAAATATTTTCAATTTTTCACACTCAGTATTAAAAACTGAAATTATTATTACACAGTCCCAGCTAAGAACATTTATAGAAAACAGCATTGAAAAAATACAGAATACAGAGCGAGCCCTGTCATTACTGAAGAAGTTTGAAAGGTAAAGTGATGTATTACAGTGCTTTCATGTAGATAATAATCATTAATGTCATTTCAAAGGTAAGAAGGTACAACATAACTTCACTGTTGCGCCTAATATGGATGCCATGCACCGCCTGTATCTTGGCTTTGAGCTGCATTAAAATTATTTGGACAAGTTATTAACTTCTGTTATGCACCTACAGTCAGCCTGACCAGATTATAAGGATGAGCATTGTGCTTCTGCAGCCTGAAAGTGAGTCCAAAGAGGGATAGGAAGTTGTAGAAATGGTTGTTGGGACAATTTATTCATTCATGGAATGTGAAAGTTGCAGCAATATCAACGTTTATTGCCCATGTCTCATTGCCCTAAGAATCTGATGGTCATCATCCTTCTTTAGCGACTATAGTGTGTAAGGTGTAAATGCACCTACAGTGCAATTTGGTAGGAAGTTCTAGGACTTTGACCCAGCTATGTGAAGGAATAGCGCGATAGTTCAATCAGAATGGCATGTGGCTTTGGGGAGAACATGCATTTGGTGATGTTCTCATGCATCAGTGACCCATGTTCCTCTAAGAGATGGAAGTCAGTGGATTGGAAGATGCAGCCAGAAGAAGCTTGGTGAGTTGCTGGTGTGTATCCTATAGGTGGTACACAGTACCACTACAGCACACCAATGTTGTTTGCTGGGTGGGATGTCTTTTCCTGGTGAGCTGCTTTCCCTGGATGGTTTTGTGATCCTTGAGTGTTGTTGCCGCTGCACTCAACTGGATAAAGTGGAGAATATTCCATCGTACTCATGAAGAGTGCCTTGTAGATGGTGAAGAGTCTTTGTGGAGTTAGATGTGTTGCTCACCACAGAATTCCCAGACTCTAACCTGTTCTTGTGGCCATAATATTTATATAACTGGTTCAGTTAAGTTTAGTGTCAGTTGTGACCCAGAACACTGAAAGCACAAATTCAACAATTATAATATTGATTGGCATAAAGGGAAGAAGGTAATTCTTATCCATATATTTTGCTTGGTTAGAAAAATATCTTTGCGCATGTTGTCAGGTTCAAGATGAAGGCATCATGTCAGCTCCCAGATATCTTGCACAGATATGCATGAAGATCATCCAATGTTTTTCTATCATCTTTGGGCCGTAAGGCCATAAGACATAGGAGCAGATGTCAGCTATTTAGTCCATCCAGTCTGCTCCAACATTCAATGAGACCATAGTTGATCTGATAATCCTCAGCTTCACTTTCCTGCCTTTCCCAAGAACACTCAATTTGTTACTGATTAAAAAATCTATCTCAGCCTTCAACTTACTTAATAACCAAATCTTTACAACCGTCTGCAGTAAAGAATTCCACAGATTCACTACCCTCTCTGAGGAAAAAAAAATCCTCCTTATCTCTGTTTTGGGTGGACAATGTCTTACTAACAGATGACGCCTTCTAGTCTTAGACTCTCGCACAAGGGGAAGCAACCTTTCTGTATCAGCCCTGTCAAGTCCTTTAAGAATCTTGTACATTTCAATAAGGTCACCTAATTCATTTAAATTTTAATGAGTACAGGCCCAAACTGCTCAAGCTTTCTATGCCAATCCTTCCATACCCAGAATCAGCCTAGTGAACTTTCTCTGGATTGCCTCCAATATAATCATATCTTGCTTTAGATAAGGGGACAAAACTGTTCACAATATTTCAGCTGTGGCCTGATTGTTGACTTGGATAGTTCAAGCAAGACTTCCATATTTTTATACTAGGTTTCCTTTGAAATAAAGGCCAGTATTCCATTTGCCTTCCTATTACCTGCTGAACATGGGTGCTAGCTTTTTGTGATTTATGCCTGATGACTTCCAAATCCCTGGCTGCTGTAGCTTTCTGCAGTCTTTAACTGTGAAGCAATCTTCAGTTCCTTTATTCCACCCGACAAAGTACGTAACCTTATATTTCTCACATTGTATTCCATCTGCCAAGCTGTTTCCCTACTTGCTTAACCTATCTGTATTCTTCAGCAGAATGTTTGGGTCCTTCTTAGCACTTGCTTTCCCACGTATTTTTGTGTAATCCCCAAGCTTGACTATAGTATATTCAGGTAGTAATCCGGAGATTATTACTTAAAGGTTCTGCTTGTTAACTTGGCTTCTAACTGCTTAAACTCATTCATCAGAACCTCCTTTCTAATTTTATCAAGGAGATGTCCTTAACTCTGGTACTGGGAAAACAACACAACCTCTGGGACTCCTCACATGACAGAGAACAGTATCTATCCCCATAGTTATGGTGTACCCTGTTGCTACTATATTTCTATTTCTCTGCACCACCCCCCCCCCAAACCTTTCCCAGTTGAATGATTCCTTATTCTACAGTACCATGATCAGTTTGCTCATTCTCCCTATAGTCTCCATTTTTGTCCCGTAGCTTGCAAGAACCTTGCAATTGTTGGGACAATTACAGGAGTCAAGGCTCCTCAAATGCAACCCACCATGTCTCCACACACCTACTTCACCTGAGTCACACCCTCCTGATGGGTGATCTGACATCGCCTTAATAGCACATAGGCCCAATTTATGACTCCATGGGCCTGTGGGAATCCTACCAGTGCAGCAAATCCATTCATTCTCATCTATGATAATGTATACATGACTGCTAACCCTGGAAAACATGATATTTTTCACATGGGAGGTGCAGCTATCAATCACTAGATTGTGAGATTGTACAAATATCTTGTGCAGATTCCTGTTAGAAATTAAGTACTTTGTTGACCTAGACCATAACATGAAATATGTGCTCAGCTCCTACCTGCACAATATCATCTTGGAGACTGCCACGAGGCAACAGCCTAGTGATATAATCACTAAACTATTAATCCAGAGACCTGGGTAATGTTCTGAGGATCAGGTTTAAATCCCACTGTGGCAGATGGTGAAATTTGACTTCGATAAAAAAAATCTGGAATTAAGAGTCTAATGATGACAGTGAGTCCATTGTCAATTGTTGGAAAAACCCATCTAGCTTACTAAGGTCATTTAGGGAAGGAAACCGCAATCCTTACCTGGTCTGGCTACATGTGCCTCCAGAACGACAGCATTTTGTGTCGACCCTCAACTGTCCTCTGGGCAATTAGGGATGGGCAATAATTGCTGACCCAGCCAGCATTGCCCTCAACCCATGAATGAACAAAAAAAAGTCAGTAACCATTTGATGGGGAAGTCTAAACCTTCAGATGCACTAATGCTTATTCATGTCCAGAAACCTAATCTTCTACTTGTATACCCTGTTTGTGGAGCAGCAGGTGGTTAAAAAGAAGATCATGCTACACTCCACTTTCTCTTCAGTGATCCAAGGCAACTGTATTAGGAATTTCCATGCAGCGATGAAGTTTGACAACCCGGTAATGCAGTTACAAAGGAAAATACTCCAAGCTAGCGAAAATAATCTCCAAAGCATTGGGAGAAAAACCTCCAGAAGAAGGCACCTTTCATATCTTAGTATCCAATTCTTACCATCAAAGAGGGAACTGAGTGCATTCTGGCTAAGTTTGCAGATGATACAAAGATAGGTAGAGGCACAGGTGGTATTGAGGATGCGGGGAGACTGCAGAAGGATTTGGACAGGTTAGGAGAGTGGGCAAAGCAGTGGCAGATGGAGTACAATGTGGGAAAGTGTGAGGTCATGCACTTTGGTATGAAGAATAGAGGTAAGGATTATTTTCTAAATGGGGAGAATATTCAGATATCTAAAGTGCAAAGAGACTTGGGAGCTCTAGTTCACGATTCTCTCAAGGTAAACTTGCACGTTGAGTCAGTGGTTAGGAAGGCAATGCAACTGTGGCATTTATTTTGAGAGGACTTGAATATAAAAGCAGGGATGTACTTCTGAGGCTTTATAAGGCTCTGGTCAGGCCACATTTGGAGCATTGTGTGCAGTTTTGGGCCCCATGTCTCAGGAAAGATGTACTGGCCCTAGAGTAGGTTCAGAGGAGGTTCACGAGAATGGTCCCAGCAATTGAAAGCTTAACATATGAGGAATGTTTGAGGACTCTGGGTCTATACTCGATGGAGTTGAAGGATGAGGGGGTATCTAATTGAAACTTACAGAATACTGAATGGCCTGGACAGAGTGGATGTTGGGAAGATGTTTCCATTGGTAGGAGAGACTAGGACCTGAGGGCATAGCCGTAGAGTAAAGGGAAGACCTTTTAGAACAGAGATAAGGAAAAACTTCTTCAACCAGAGAGTATTGAATCTATGGAATTCACTGCCACAGAAGGCTGTGGAGGCCAGGTCATTTGAGTATATTTAAGACGGAGATAGATAGGTTCTTGCTTGTCAAGGGGATCAAGGTTTATGGGGAGAAAATGGGAGAATGGGGTTGAGAAAATTATCAGCCATGATTGAATGGCAGAGCAGACTCGATGGGCTGAATACCTAACTTCTGCTCCCATGTCTTATGGTCTTATGGAATTTTAAGTCAGGGAGTTTCCCAATCTGTCAACCTGCCACCTTTTAAAAGAAACCCCACCCACCATTTATTTTTTGCATCAGTAGGAGTGGAATGGTGTCAGATGTGATCCCTTTGGAGGTAGTTCTGAGATACCCATAAAGATGGCAGAGTACTGGTTAAAAGATCCCCCTCTCACTTCACCAGGACTTCATACTGGTTGTATTTTGAAACTCTTAGGTCTTCTGGCCTCTTACCTCAAGCACACTCTCATCTGTTCACACACTATGTCATGCCATACTGCATGGCCCCCATACCCCTTTCTTGCTCCCTCTGCATTCTCCAAACCTGTCCTATTCTTTCTTTATGGGTTCTGAGCATCCTATATGTTTGCTTGCCAAGTATACAATAATCCATATTGAAATTCATTAAAACAAAATCAAAAATCACCTTGTAAAAATGTTTTCTTATAAACCCTATAAAAGTATCAATCAAACAGAGTACATGTATAGCAAAAACAGAAGCTTTACCTAATTTCATGCTTGTTAATTTTGTCGATTGAAACAAGCAGATATTAAAAGAACAGTTGAAAGAAAAGTAAACTATTATGATCTCAAAAAGAAGCCAAACCATCAAAATAAATGATCCAGTTCATTTATTTGCCTGTGAAGACAGGTCTCTGTTGAGTTAATCTATTAAAAAATCTTGGAGCTCAGCTCATAAGGTCATTTGGAGGAATAAATGACTGGCCATCTGTTTCTGTTAATACAGTTCACAGAGGTGGCAAGGGGGTCATGCAAGAGGCATGAGGGGCATGATTAAAACTGTAAAACTTATCTTTCAAAAGCTTTGAGAGTCAGTCTGTGGTTCATGAATACTCTGATGGGTGGTGGACAAGGTGTCCTCTAGAAGTTGGTCTGATTCCACAAAAATTGTGGGGTTAAGGTGAGGTATGAGATAACTGTACCTCGAATGGAACCTACCAGGTTGGGAGTGCAGAGTGCAAGCTTGCTACCTACACCCAGTGCCAGTGAAAGTTTATGGCACCTGGAATAGAGGTGAGAATGGAATTAGGTCTTTCCATTTTTTAAGGCCTCTGGTGTAAACCCAACCCCATCAAATTCTGATCTTTAGTATTTGAAGCCTTTCTCTTCCTTCAGTATTTCAGTCCTCTCAATCTCTGTTGTCATCTTGCCTTTTTCAATCAGGTGTGTTTCAGTTAACCTGGTAAAAACATGTGTTTTGGGTAAAGAGAGAATCCAGGATTAAAATTCCATTTAATAGCTCTTAACTTATAAAGTTTCCGTCATGATTAGTCCACAGGGATTTCCCATGTGCTAACAAACATGTGCAAGTTCAAAGTTGATCAGCGCCTGCCATCTTTCCAATACAACTCAAGTTTTTGGAGTTTTATCCTACAGCCCACATAGAAATGCACCCATCCTGGCAGGTTAACATTCAGTACATTTGTTCTGTTATGTGACTGACATAATATTTAAGTTTGTTTAGGTAACACATTTTTTAAAATTCCTTACGTGGGCAATAAGAGCATTATATTTAATTTAAAAAGAAACTTTGTTTGATGGTTAATGATTTTTTAAAAATGTTACCCATTCAGACTTGGAATATCAGATCTTGCTATCGATGAAAAATACCAGAAAATTCTTCAGAACTACGGACGAGACATTGAGATGATATCCAAGCTTTACAGCAGACAGAAAAATGATCCGCCTATTGCTCGAGACATGCCACCAATAGCAGGGAAGATTTTGTGGGCACGTCAACTCTTTAATAAGATTCAGGAACCAATGGAACTATTCCAGAAACAACCAAACATTCTACAGACAGCAGATGCCAAGCGCATTGTTCGCAACTATAACAAAGTGGCAAAGGTTTTACTAGAGTTTGAAGTGCTGTATCACCGAGGCTGGCTGAGACAGGTAATGAAAGTTAAATAGAAAAAAAACACTGTCAGATCTGTGTGTTTTTTTTAAATTGCTAAATAATGAGAACATGACAAATATGTAGAATATAGGTGGCTTGAAGATTGGTCACTGGCATACCAACTGATTTGGTTGAGTAATACAGCTGCCACATTAGTGTTTTATTTAAATGAAACAATGGACCCATGTTGCAATCCATATTGTTTAGTTAATTATAACAGTACTTTTATTGTGGATGTTATTGGTCTGATGGTATGTCATCATGTTGTACCCTCTGGGTAGTAAGTTTTGTGTTCAAAGATTAGAGTAAAGCAGGATTGAAAATATTATAAATTCTACTGGTGATCTTACTGCAGTGGAAGGCTACACAGTAATCATAGGAAACAAATAGGGATTTTTCTTTGCTGCATGATTGGCTTGTACAGTCTGTTTCTTACCTCTTTTTTTCCTGTTGTCTCCCTTGTTCCATCAACTTCTTGTTTTTCCTTCAGTTTCTCTTTTCTGCCCCCATTTCAACTCCTTTCCTGAGAGAATTGATTAGTTTGTCAATTCCAGGATACTTTCAGGTACCTGATCCAAGGAACCATCACTTAAGAATAAGTTTTGACATGACTGAAGAATGACGTTTTTATTTTGAATAAAATCACATTCTAATAATATTTCATGCACTCACACATTTCCTGCAGGGTTTCTTAGAAAGAGATCAGCCACCAGAACTTAGAAATGCTGGAAACAATTCTAGTGTCGCCACTCTTGTTTAGATTAAGCAGGTATTCTTTGAATCTTGGACCTTGCTACATTTTTTTGGCTATTCCCACTGAACCATTAGGCAACCTTACAAAAAGGATCCAGCAAAAGTTACAGAGAGACATAAACTGTTGGTATGAACTCAGCATTCTGGATTACTTAAAGTTATTCTTCGAGTGATAGTTATAGCTTGCTAACTAAATTGAATATTGAATCTTTAGTTAGAAATAAATACATTTGATCCCAAATGGAAAATACTGATAATCTTCAAAAAAGGCTCGCACAAATGATATAATGAGCTTTGTGTTGAAATTTTTGCCAGTTGTAAGATGTTTTTTGTTTGATCATATTTACTTTAATCCTTTCCTTTAGATTGAAATAGCAAAAGCAGGATTGCAGGCATCATTGTTAGTGAAAGCCCCAGAGACAGGAGAACTGTTTGTGAACTTTGATCCTCAAATTTTAACATTAATACGTGAAACAGAATGCATGGCCAAGATGGGACTTGAAATTCCACCATTTGCCCAAGACTTTCAGCAGAAACAGGATATCTTTAAAAAGAATTACAACAGACTCCAGGTAATGTTTTAAACTGTGGTAGAAAACTGTTTACTCCAATGGCTCTATGAGGGAGAATTTTTCTCTGTGACTGCCTACCATGTACAAGAACCTGATTGCAGCTTCCTTGTTTTGGCTATTTTCTCCCATATTTATTGAAAGGGGAACTTCCAGTACTTCTTACGATTGGGTATGTGATTCTCAAAAAATGGAAGAAAATGTCAGCACAGAAGAAGCCATGCAGCTTTTCTCTGGGACGCTGAGGTCAGAGCAATCTTTTTCTGATGATAACAATGGGATGGGGTATTGCCGAGTGGTGGAACACTCTGAAATCACATTGTTAAACTTGTGTTCATGTACACACCCTGCTGTAGGATCTCGAGGCTTTCCTCCCCCACGCCTGTACCTCCTTTCCATCGCTAAAATGTCAGGGAGACAGCCAGCCCATGGTTTCGTCACGTGGGAACTTTATGACAAAACCTCTGCCCCCTCTCAGAGTCAGGTATCTCAGCAAATTGGATGGTGGTGAACCATGTTTGAAGGTTAACAGGGAATAGCTAAGAGGGGGAATAACCATGGGAATGTGCCTTAAATAGGCTCAGTGTCCACTCCAATTTGACTGACATCTTCCAGCAGAGTAATGTTGCCTTCCGCTGCCTTCCATCATAGGGAAGTGATGGCTTTGTGGTGTTTTCATGAGATTATTTATCCAGAGACGCAGACCATACTCTGGAGACCTGCGTTCAATTCCTACCATGGCAAATGGTGGTATTTGATTTAAATTTAAAAAATGAAGGTCATGAAACCATTGATTGTCGGAAAAACCTATCTGGTTCACCAATATCCTTTAGGGAAGTAAACTGCTGTCCCTATAAAAAGAGGCTATAAAGTAGTTCAGAGGCTAGGAATTCTGCAGTGATTAACTCACCTCCTGAATCCACAGAGCCTATTTACCATCTGTAAGGCACAGGTCAAGAGTATGATGGAATGCTGGGTACTGGCCTGGATGAGTGAAGCTCCAACATGAATCAAGAAGGTTGACACCATTCAAGACAAAGCAGACTGCTTGATCAACATCACATCCACAAATATCCACTCCCTCCTCCAGTGACCCTTGATAGCACCATTGTATATCATCCACAAGATACAATGCAGAAATTCACCAAGTCTCCTTAGACAGCACCTTCGAAACCCATGACCACTGCCATCTCGAAGGACAAGGGCAATAGACACATGGGAACACCATCACTCACAAGTTCCCTTCCAAGCCACCTCACTATCCAGATTTGGAAATATATTGCCATTCCTTCAGTGTTGGTGGGTCAAAATCCTGAAACTCCCTCCCTCATGACATTGCAGGTGTACTTGTAGGACATGGACTCCAGTGGTTCAAGAAGGTAGCTCACCACTACCTTCTCAACTAAGAAACTAGCGATGGCAATTAATACTGGCCCAGTCAGTGACTCCCACACCCCATGAATGAATTGGAAAAAAATGTCGAAAGCAGCATAATTAATGGCTGCTGATGGGTCTCAAAAGGCCCACGGATGGATAGGCTAACTGATGCTTCCCCATCTTAGAAAATCTCAGGCTGTTTGGAGGAGGAGTTGAGGGCTGTGGGAAAGGTGCCTGCTGGACTTTTCAAACCCACTTCCAAACCCATTGGTATTAGAGCATAATATCCAGTCCCATGAGAACTTGAAACCCCTTACTCCTAAATTTTGTAATCAACTCAGAATATGAATTTAGCATGAACATATAGATCTATTTTTTCATAATCTCAAAGCTCATAACTTACCACGCTTGCCATATAAACTGCATTCCAATTTCATATTACTGAGCTCCAAAAAGCATCTTGATTTTGTAACTTTTTTAACCTTGACATAACTGTAAGAGTGAAAGCTGTATGGACTTTGAAAGCTAAATTATTCTTTCCTTTCTACATATGTTTAGATGACTTTATCAGAAAACAAAAGAGTCAGATCAAAGATTCAAAGTACTTTTATGCAACTGATGGGTCCTCATTTAGTGAAAGTTGATAATGCAATACAGCCAGGCTTGACGTCTCTCAACTGGACCTCACTGAACATTGATAAATACCTGAGCAGGATTTCTGAAGCTTTAGGTAGGTTTATTTTGTGATTTGACCATGAATACGACCAATAAAAGTGTGGGCAATTTTTTCATGTCTGCTCTGTCTGGTGACTTTGTAAGCTGCTTTATTAAAAAACAAGCCCATAATTTTGTTGCTGTGCACTAGAAGAAATCTTACTGAAGCCAATTCAGTGGTGAAGGAAATTTCTTCACAAACTCCACCACAGAACTATAAGCATCCATAAAGCTACATCGTAACTACATTATAATTGCCTTTCGCTACCCATCAAATGAATCAAACCATGTCTGCATCTTAGAATTGAGGCTCACAAGCCTACATTGCAATAGTAAGAACATTCAGAATAAATCTTTCTACTTGGTTAACAATTTATAAATGTGAATTTATAAAGGTGACATTTGTTCTACACGTGCTACTAATGTTCTACTGTTCTTCACAAGAGACTTCAGAATGAAAAAAAAACAGTATTTGGAATGGGAGGAGAGGGATCCAGTTATTGTTATCTATGTTGGTACCAATGACATTGGTAAAATTAGAAAGGAGGTTCCACTGAAAGATTTTGAACCGTTAGCTAGATTGAAAAGCAGAACCTCCAAGATAATAATCTCTAGATTATTTTCTGAGCCAAGGGAAAATTGGCATAAGGTAAGTGAAGTCAAGGAGCTAAATGCTTGGCTCAAAGATTGGTATGGGTGAAATGAGTTTCAGTTCTGTTCTGGTGGAACAGGCTTCACTCGAACATGCTGGGACCAGTGTCCCGATGAATCAAATAACTAGGACTAAAGAGAGAGCTTTAAACTAGTTAGAGATGGTGGGGAGTTGGGAGACGGGAAATGTAGGCTTACAAAGCAAGAAGATGCAGCAGCATTACAGGGCAGCTATTTGGATAACAATATCCAGAGAACGACAGGAAGAGACAGACAATTCAAGCATAGAAAAACAGTAGTCATATATAGGATCAAAGCGGAAAAATTGTAAAACGGCAAAATTAATAATACTTTACCTGCATGTGTGTTGTATCCAGAACAAAATAATTGAATTAATGAGACAAATAGAGGTTAACGGATATGATCTTACAGGTTATAAAGAGATCAAAGCTGGAAACTAAATATTCAGGTGTATGTGATTTTTCAAAAGGTTAGGCAGGAAGGAATAAATAAGATAGCAAGGAATTATTTTGGATCAGAACATGTAGAATTCATATGGGTGGTTGTTAGAAATAAAAAGGAGAAGACAATGGAAGGAGTAGTCTATAGCCTCCTAACAGTAGCTGTATGGCAGGACAGAGAATAATTCAGAAGCTAATGTCATGAGGAGGTAATGGCCTAATTGTATGATCATTAATCTATTATTCCAGAGACCCAGGCAATGTTCTGCGGATCTGGATTTAAATCCTTCCAGCAAAAATCTGGAAATAGAAGTCTAATGAGATCCATGAAACGATTGTCAGAGAAAAATCTATCTGGTTCATTCATGTCCTTTAGGGAAGGAAACTGCTGTCCTTGCCTGGTCTGGCCTACATGCAAGTCCACATCCACAGCAATGTGGTTGATTCTTCATTGCCCTCAGAGTAATTAGAAATGAGCAATAAAAGCTGCCCACCTCCCACAAAAGAATAAAACAATGTTACCACGAATTAAGCCACTTTATAAGACAAGAACTCATTGTTTTAGAGGTGATATATTAGCATGGGTGAAGGATTGGTAGACTAATACAAGACAAGGACTTGAAATAATGGAGGTATTTCCAGGATTATGACCTGTAACTATTGGAGTGCCATAGGCATCAGCGCTGAGGTTGCAATTATTAACATTATATATTGATGACTTGGATGAGGAAAGTGAATGTACTGTAGTCAGGTTTGCCAGATGACACAAGTTTAGGTGGGAATGCAAATGCTGAGGATATCACAAAGAGTCTACAAAGTGATACAGACATGTTCTGTGAGTGGGCCAGAGGGTGTAATCTCAGAGTAAGAGGTCATACATTTAAGACATATATGAGGAGGCATTTCTTCTCTTGGAAGGTAGTGAATCTGTAGAATGTTTTACTACAGAGGGCTGTAATGTTCATTGTTAGTATATTCAGGACTGGGACAGATTTTTAATCAGTAAGAGAATCAAGGGTCTTGCATAAACGTGGCGTTGAGGATTATCAGATCAGCCATGATCTCATTGAATGGCAGAGCAGACTTGATGGGCTGAATGGCCTACTTCTGCTCCTTTGTCATATAATCTTACAATAAAACATGTCCTCACCCATGGGAGATTACATCACATGTTAAATTTTTCCATAAAAATACTTAGTCCACGTCTTAACACAAGACAAGGAGGCAAGTGAGTGTTCAATATGATCCTGGCATTAGGAAGTAAACCACTATGGCCTGTGGCACCATGGAACTCAGAAGGATACCATAGCATGTAGGTCATTCAATTGGTTTCTTATCATTCACCATCCTTGTAACCCATCTTATCCGGTGTGCAATTATTTGATGATATAACTATGAGCATCCCTCTGTTGATCTCTAAGTCCACTGAAGTTGGTAACAGGTAGTCTGTTTAGCTACTGTTGGTGATTCACCTCACATATTGCTACACTCATACTGCTCATCTAGAGAAATGTAGTAATCATGTACTCATAAGCAGGTTTTAGATACATATTGCTTTCACTCTTCTGAATTTGAGCCTAGTCACCATATATGGATAGACATGATGTATCATTCACGTCATTAAATCTCTGATTGCTATGATTCTTTCTACTAGTTATTCCCTCTATTATTGATTATAACTTATCCTCAGAATTGTGTGTCTTGAACTAATATACCATATCTTCTGCATGAAGGGGTGCATGTTTTAAGGTTTGTAGGTTCACCAACCGTTGCACATATGTATCAATAAAAGTACTATCAAATAATGACTTGCTTTGCATTCCTGGAGCCAGTGGAGGAGAGATTAACTTTTGATGGGCATCTTATTAGATTAATATTTGTAAAGAGTTCACGAAATACCTTTCTTGACCTCAAATTCAGAATACAATTTAATTAAAGAGAGTTAGTTGTATTCTTAAGACTCATTGAACAATTTTCTTCAGAAATATCTTTAATGGCCTTCACACCCCTTAACAAGCCAAATGTTGGGAGTGTAGCAATAGCTGGCTCATTTTCAGATCACGTGCCCCCTAGTGATAGTTGAAGTTAAATGCCCAACACATAGTGGGGAGTTTTCTAGATTAATCTGAGTATAGTGATTGAATGCAGCTCCAAAAAAGTGATCAAGAAGAGATCATGCTACATTAACCTGCTACCTGTAGCATTTTGCACGCCCTATGAGCTGTGTCTTGTAACACATCGACAGTGCTGAATCTAGTTTGAATAATTACATTTTGAAAATTATAAACAGTCATTTGATAAGAATTGCTTGTCGTTTTACCTGTTTATATGACAATTTGCAGATGAACTCGAACTTTTGTTGAATCGTGTGAATGATTTGATAGAATTTCGTATTGATGCAGTACTTCAAGATATGAGCACAATACAATTATGCAAACTACCAGAGGAGGAACCCATTGCATGTGAAGAATTTGTGCGGGTGACTAAGGTCTGTATATCTTGCTTATAGATTATCCGTGTTCAAGCTAAAGAGGACAGTAGAGTTGAGGCTGAGATGAGATCAATCTTGATCATATCAAATGACAAAGCAGGCTTGAGGGGCTGAATTGCCTACTCCTGCTCCTAGCTCTTATGTTCTTATATTGGAGGACTGTATAATAGTTCGGTAATTCTGTTTTTGGCCAAGAATTTCTTCCAAGCTACTGCTTTGATTTAACTGGAAATAAGTGAGATACCCAGGCTCAAATTTTACCAACCATTGGAGACGGAGTTTGAGGTGGGAGACACATAAAATACTGGTAAAAAGAATCAAGATGGAACCCAAAGTCGTCCCATTGTCATAGCATATCCTCAGAAGTAGGAGCAGCAGTGGCCGGAAGCAGGTGGGAATTTATCCCAATAAGCTGTCTAATTAATAACCATTTCACGGTCTGCTGTCATTTTAGTGTCATCAGGAAGGACCACTGCTGAATTGGCATACTACCAAGTACATCGAGGCAGCCTCCCAGCCTCCTTCTGGAGTATCCTGTTGGCAGTATCAGCCATCCCAGTGACTCTGACACTGCTGCTGAGGGATTCACCCTTTTGATTACCAAGTCCTTTGTCTGTGACCGGTCTCAGCACAATGTGGCTTTCAAGGGTGGCAATTGCTTCTTTTCTCCATAGCTGCAATAATGACTACATCTATCAGTGGCACTGCCAAGCCAACAGTTCTCTGCTTGCATCAGCAGCTTGGTGAAAGAGACTGCCATCCATGATAGGACAACATTCTCAATGTGGAATCTTAATTGGCTGCTATCAGTAAAACAACACAGGCTTGGGTCACCCATTTCATTGCTGATGGTGGCACCTAACACTACCTGGTAAAATTTGGAGTCTTGCAACAACAGCTTATATTTACATAGAACTTTAAACTTGTAAAACATTCCAAAGCATTTCACAGAGGCTTTATAAAACAGCACATAAATCTTAACCACATGAGGGAATACTAGGCCAGATGACCAAAAGTTTTGTCAAAGAGGTAGGTTTTAAGGAGGATCTCAGAAGGAAAAAGAGAAAAGGGTGTAAAGGTTTAGAGAAGGAAGTCCAGAAGTGAAATTAATGTGGTAGTGGAAGCACCTCTGAGAATATTCGTGATTTTCATGTCTGGTCATGATTTAAAGAAAGATATAAGTACATTAACACAAACCTTGTTTTATAACACATTGTGAGCAACTTCTTGTTGGATCTACTTTATTCATGATATTAGGCGTCTAAAGAAAATGGACATTACTCACAAAATATCGTTAAAATAATAAATTCTTTTTTGTTAAAGACAATGTCATTATTTTATCAAGTAAATAAAAAATAAAATATATTCAAAATTGTTTCTAGTAACAGTAAGGCTTTGCAATTAAAAGAATACAAAATACAGATAGAAAAAAGTAACAGTCTTTGGCAACTTGTATCTTTCAGTAATCATAAAATGCTATGTGTTTATTTTATACTTGTGCAGAAGAATTATTTTGAGTATTTATTTAAATATTTATAACATCTATTTATAAAGGAACTTTTCACCCAGGAATGTTTGGTAACCATTGTATTGGCTGACCAGGATGAAAGGAAGGGAACATCTAAAATTATCATGCATAAAAGGCGCATGATTTATTTTACATTTCTTGTATTTAGATATCCTGCGTTTGAGATAACCACAACTAATAAAACACCAGTTACTGCTAGAAAACTACTTTATTGTTATTGACCACCCTAATTTCATTCAGTAAAATTCAATTCACGAAGAAAATGATAATCAGGGAAACATAGGAGTTGTTGAACCTTAACATTTCCTGATACTGACTTTAATTACAGCAGGAAAAAGGATGATGAAAATATTACTTCAAAATGATAGTCAGAAGCTGTAATTTGAGACAAAGAAATTTTGTTAATCTATACAGTAATTGTTCACATACGCATTTATCGAAAAAGAGGGGGAAGGTTGCGTAATTCAAGTATCAGATGTCCAGAAATAGGAAAGGATGAGTTAGATATCTAATTAATAGTGACTTCTCATATAAAAAGATTGAATTCTCTTAATAGAGGGCAGTAGTGAGAAATGACTGAGGAGGATTCTGGGAGAAGTCGACTCGCTCACCATAACAGAGAAGGTGATTGTGAGGAGCCGGTGTCAAAGAACAGTAAATTAATACTAGACGGTCAACATGACATTGTCAAGGGAAGGTGATGTCTGACAAATTTAATTGACGTCTTTGACAACGTAACACAGGCAGTTGATGAGAGTAGTGCCATGGATGTAGTATATTTGGACTTTGAGAAAGCGTTAGGTATGGTGCCAGATACCAGGTTGGTTAGCAAATTAGAATTATTTGGGATTGATGGGTCCTTGGCAGCATGGATTTAAAGTTGGCTAAAAGAGAGGAAACACAAGGTAGGTATAGATATTCATTTATAGTTTGGAGATGAGTTGAAAATTGTATTCCCTAGGAATGGGTGATGTGACTTTTGCTTTTTCTGATTTATATAAATGATTTGGAGATGGGTGTTGAGGGCAACATCTCTAAATTTGAAGTGGATACCAAGCTAGGGAGACTAGTGAATTGTGAAGATGATGCTGAGTAACTTCACAGTGACATTGATAAGTTGGTCAAATGGATAGACACCAGGCAGATGAATTTGATGCAGAAAAATAGGAGGTGATGCATTTTGGAGAAGAAACATGGAGAGACAATGCAGGCTCAATGGTACAATTTTGAAGGAGTACAGAGCAAAGGAACTTCGACGCTAACGTGCACAATTCTCTGAAGGTGGTTATGCAAGTTGAAACAGTCATTGCAAACGCTTACAGGATCCTTGTGTTTATAAATAGAGGCAGAGAATAAAAATGAGGCAGTGGTGCTACACCTCTGCAATTCATTGGTCAGACCGCAATTGGAGAATTGTGTTCAGTTTCGGGCACCTTATTTAAGGATGTTAAATCCCTGGAGAGAGTGCAAAGGAGTTTTATTGAAATGTTACAAGAATGAGGCATTTTAGATACAAGGAAAGATTGTAGAAATTGGTCTTATTCACCTTGGAGCAGAAAAGATTAAGAGGTGACCTTATTGAGGTGTTCAAAATTATGAACAATTTTCACAGAGTAAATAAGGATATTTTGTTTCTGCTAGATGTTATGTCAGTAACTAGAGGTCACAATTTCAAGACTGTCAGCAAGAGACCTAGGAATGACATGGGAAGAAACGTCTTTACTCAGAGAATTGTTAGGATATGGAATGCGCTGCATGAGAGTGTTGTGGAGGTAGATTCCATAAGAGATTTCAAAAGAGAGTTGGATGTGTATTTGAAAGTGATGATTTTAAAGGCCACAGAGATAGGGCTGGAGAATGGGACTAGGTGGATAGCTCTTTAGGGTACGGATGCAGTAGCCTCCTTCTGTGTTGTAAAATTCTAACAGGCCTTGATAGATGCCCATTCCCAAAAGCAAAGTTAGCTTGCTTATGGAGGATATTTTTTTTTATTTGCTTGTGGGATGTGGGTCTTGCTGGCTAGTCCCACAATTATTCCCTATCCTTAACTACGGTGCTAAGCTATTACCTTGAAATGCTGCAGTCCATTGAGTACTGTTAGAAAAAGAGTTCAAGGATTTTGACCCAGTGGCAGTGAAGGAACTGCAACATAGTTTCAAGTCAGAATGTTGTGTGGGTTGGAGGGAAACCTGCGGTTGATGGTGTTCCCTGTATTGAGGTGATGGCCTAATGGTATTATCGCTGGACTGCTAATCCAGAGACCCAGATAATGTTCTGGGGACCTGGGTTCAAATCCTGCCATGGCAGATAGTGGAATTTGAATTCAATAAATATCTGGAATCAACAGTCTAATGATGACTGTGAATCCATTGCTGATTGTTGGAAAAAACCATCTGGTTCACTAATGTCCTATAAGGAAGGAAACTGCCATCCTCACCTGGTCAGGCTTACATGTGACTCCAGACCCTCAGCAATGTAGTTGACTCTTAACTGCCCTCTGGGCAATTAGGCATGGGTAATAAATGCTGCCTGGCCAGCGACACCTTCATCCCATGAATGAATAAAAAAAACCTTCTATCCACTTTAAATCGTATGTAAGAAATTCAGAACGTGGATCCAGACAAATTGTTCCATACATTTAAATGAATAAAAATCAATGCAAGTTATTACTGAATGCAGGTTAAATGTAGAAGGTTAGATATGAGAGAGGAAAACCTTTAAATGATAATGCCCCAGGATTCATAATCCAGAGGCCCAGGCTAATGTTCTGGAGTCATGGATTCAAATTCTACCGCGGTAGCTGGTGGGATTTAATAAATTACATATAAAGCTAGCCTAATGACAATGGAACCGTTGTTGATTTTTGTAAAAAACAAAGCTGGGTCACTAGATAACACAGTGTGGAGCTGGAGGAACACAGTAGGCCAGGCAGCATCCTCCAGCTCCACGCTGTGTTATCTCTGACTCCAGCATCTGCAGTTCTAGCTATCTCTGACTGGGTAACTACTATTCTTTAAGATGGGAAATCGGTTATCCTTACCTGATATGGCTTACATATGACCCCAGACCCACAGAAATGTGTTTGATTTGTAACCCTCTGTGGGCAATTGAGGATGGCAATAATTGCCTAGTCAGCAATGAATGAAAATTGAGAAAGTAAAGGGGAAAGCTGCTGAAACTAACAGTATAAAGTAGTTACAGAAAAAATAGTTTTGTTTTTGTACAGTAATGGAATTTTGGGTACATTTTCCAAATTATAGTGTTCAAGAGAGGGCACTTAGTGTGCTTATTTCTCTTCCTGCTTGTATGTGACAGGGATTAGAGTGACCAGTTTGTTCCAAACTAAAAATCAGTCATGTAGAAATGTTACTAAGTTTGTTGAATGTTTGTACTTAAAATTTCTAACTTAGAATACATGTCTAGTACTGAGAAAGACAATGAATGATATTGATCTCTGAAAACAGGTAACACTTGTTGGATTTAATGATCTTTCACCTTTCTTAAAATTTCTTGTGCATTTTATGAAAAGCATTATGGTAGACAAATCCCCAGGACTAATGGGGAACTATCTCAGAATACTGAGGGAGGGGAGGAAGGAAATTGCTGGGGCTTGTACGAAATCTTTGTATCCTGTTTAGTCACAGGAGAGGTCCAGGAGGACTGTAGAGTACCCAGTGTTGTTCCTTTGTTTTTCTAGCAACAAGGATAATCCAGGAAATTACAAGCTGCTGAGTCTTACATTAGAGGTAGGGAAATTTTTGGAGAAGGTTCTTGGGGACAAGATTTACTCACATTTGGAAAAGTATTGACTTATTAGCAATTGGCAGTATGGCTTTGTGCGGGGGAGGTTGTGTCTCACAAACTTGATTGAGTTTTTTGAGGAAGTGACAAAGATGATTAGTGAGGGCAGAGTGGTGAATGTTGTTTACAAGGTCCCTCATGGCAAGCTGATACAGAAGGTGAAGTCACACAGGATGCACAGTGAGCTGGTAGACTGTATGCAGAACTGGCTTGGTCATAGAAGACAGAAAGTAGCGGTGGAAAGATGTTTTGCTGACAAGAGATCTGTGACCAGTGGTTGTTTTGCAGGGATCTGTGCTGGCCAGCTCAGTGGATAGCTCTTCTGCCTTACAGTTCCAGGGACTCCGGTTCGATTCTAGCTTTAGGTGACTGTATGTGTGGAGCTTGCATGTTCGTACCATGTCTGCATATGTTTTTCTGAGTGCTCTGGTTTTCTCCCACAGTCCGCAATGATATGCAGTTGAGGAAGATTGACAATGCTAAATTGCTGTGTGGTATCCAGGGATATGCAGATTAGGTTGATTATGCATAGTAAATACAAAGAACAAAGAACAAAGAAAATTACAGCACAGGAACAGGCCCTTCGGCCCTCCAAGCCTGTGCCAATCCAGAACCTCGACAGGTTTAGACCTGTCGCCTATTTTCCAAGGATCTGTATCCCTCTGCTCCCTGCCCATTCATGTATCTGTCTAGATACATCTTAAATGACGCTATCGTGCCCGCCTCTACCACCTCTGCTGGCAACGCGTTCCAGGCACCCACCACCCTCTGCGTAAAGAACTTTCCACGCATATCTCCCTTAAACTTTTCCCCTCTCACCTTGAAATCGTGACCCCTAGTAATTGAAAATGTGTGATTACGGAGGTGAGGTGGGTGAATGGTGGGTTGGGTGGGGTGATGTTTGGAGGATTGGTGCAGACTTGAGGGCTGAATGGCCTCTTTCCTCACTGTAGGATTCTATGGTTGTTTGAAATATGAGATGATGCAATTTGGAAGGTCTAGTGCAGCGGAAAGTATATAGTTAATGATAGAACCCTTAAAAGCATTAACGTACAGAGGGATCTAGGTGTACAGACCCACAGAACCCTGAAAGTGGATACACAAGTGGATAAGTTGGTCAAGAAGGCATATGGCATGGTTGTCTTCATCATTCAGGGCATAGAATACAAAATTAGCAAGTCATATTGCAGCTGTGTAGAACTTTAGTTAGGCCTGATTTGGAATATTTTGTATAGTTCTGGTCGTCACACTATCAGAAGGATGTGGAGGTTTTGGAGAGGGTACAGAAAAGGTTTATCAGAATGTTGCCTGGTTTGGAGGTTGAAGCGTTAGGGTTAAAAATATTTTAGAAGTTATGAGAGGCATGGGTATTATAGATAATCAGAGTCCTTTTCTCAAGGTAGAAATATCAATTATTAGAAGATATAGGTTTTAGGTAAAAGGGTGAAAGTTTGAATGAGATGCAAGAGGCAGGCTTTTTACACAGTGGGAGGTAAGTGCCTGAGGAGGTTGTAGAAGCAGATACACTAGTTACATTTAAGAGACATCTTGACAGATATATGAATAGGAAGGGAACAAAGGGATACAGACTGCATAGAAGCAAACAAATTTTTAGTTTTGAAAGGCACATGTATCAGTCCACGCTTGGTGGACAAAAGGGCACGTTGCTGTGCTGTAATGTTCTTTGTTGTTTGTTATATTGAGTTAAAAATCACATGACACCAGGTTATAGTTCAACAGATTTATTTGAAGTCACAGGCTCTTGGAGTATCACTCCTTCTTCAGGTGTCAGTGAAAGAGGTGGCATCGGACACAGAATTTAAAAGCAAAAGATCAAATGGTCATAGAACTGATGTGGTGTAAAACAAACCTAAGATAGCTGTTAAATGTTTAGTCAGTTAGAAAGGATTAGTATGCAAGCTCCCGAATTTCTTTCAAGTGACTGCGCCAAGTTAACGAAAGATTTTCTCAGTTCCCTCAGTATATCAGAGATGACATCCCAGGTCAGACATTGCATTTTAGGTGTACGGCCTTCTTTAGAATCTGGCTGTGTATGAACTTGGAGTCAGATTGGTTTTATTTCCAAAGTAGGAATTTATAAAGTGCTGCATTGACTGTCTACAAATTGTGTCCTTTTTGAACAAAATAGAATGTATCTGCAATTACAAATCAGCAAATGCAAATTCACCCCATAGATTTGTGTGTGTGTGTGTGTGTGTGTGTGTGTGTGAGAGAGAGAGAGAGACAGAGAGAGAGAGATGCATTATCTGACCTGAAATGTGACCTCTGGTATACTGAGAGAACTCAAAAAACCTTTAGTTATCTCAGGGCAGTGACTTGAAAGAAATTCGGGAATTTGCATATTAATCCTTTCTAATTGAGTAAAGATTTAATAGCCATCTTAGGTCTGTTCAACACCGCATCAGTTCTTGACCATTTGATCTTTTGTTTATAAATTTTGTGTCTGATGCCACCTTTTTCACTGACACCTGAGGAAGGAGTGAGACTTCGAAAGCTTGTGACTTCAAATAAACCTGTTGGAGCATAACCTGGTGTGGTATGATTTTTGACCTCGTCCACCCCAGTCCAACACTGGCACCTCCACATCTTTGTTGTTTTATTATATAAGTACAAACTTGAGTATTAAAAGTGTGCAAGTATATTGTCAGTATACTTCTGTTACCATTAAGCCAATGCCAGGTGATTAAACGTGCACACAAATGGAGCTAATATGCTGCTACTGGTTTTTGACATTAAAAAGCTGATAATAGGTGTGCCATTACAGTAATAAATGTCCACAAGCAGCAGTACCTTTCACACTTCAGTAATTTTAAAATGTCATTTTGTACAGGAATTGTGTGTAAAAGCTGCCCAAATGCTGCATTGTAAGAGTTCTTTGGTAGAGGAAGCTGCAAATGAATTTATAAACATGTTACTGGATTTGGAGTCTCTGAGTAAAGAAGAGGAGGAGGAAAAATCCAAAGATAGCAGTGGAAATGAGCATCAAAAAGAATTTGATGGTAAGAAATAAAAATATATAGGGATTAAAGGTTGGGAGCTAATGCTGTGTAAAGTAGTGTCTGGCAGCAGGATTATTTTAGTTTTAAAAAGTCATGGAGTCACACAGCATAGAAATAGACCCTTCAGTCTAACTAGTCCATACCGACCATGATCCCAAACTAAACTAGTCCCACCTGCCAGTGTTTGGTCCATATCCTTCCAAACCTTTCCTATTCATGTACTTGCCTAAATGTCTTTTAAATGTTGTAACTGTACCTATATCCATCACTTCCATCATTCCACACATGAATCATGCTGTGTATACAAAAAATGGCCCTCAGTTCCTTTTTAAATCTTAGTATGGTAATAATAAGTTTTATGGTTAAAATTTTGTTAACACAGTTTATTGTAAACCATTTCCTAAGTTAGTTTTTCTAAGAAAGAACAAAATAGACTATTTTTAACCTGATAGTTATGTAAGTACATGGTCTGTGAAGTAAAAAACAAAACTATATTGATTAAATATCTTTTATACCAGGAGAACGAAAAACTGAGAAACGTTCTTTCACCTATAATGCAAGCCAGATAAACGATGGGTCCCCATCTCCAGTAACAAAAAGGAAGAAGAAAGACTTAATGCAGACACTTGAAGAAGAAGCACAGGAATTATTGTCCTACTTCAGCCACCGCAATGTGGATGCATTATTGAAGGTCACCCGCAACACTCTAGAGACTATTCGCAAACGCATTCATTCATCATCACTGCTTTATTTTATAGGTATGAAGTCTGTTGATCAGCTTCAGCATAAAGAATCTTGATTCTGTTACAGATTGCAAAGCAATCTCTGACACCAACTGGACCAAATATTGTGGTTTTACTGAACTATTATAAATGAAATGGAAACAATGCTAGTGAGCAGTTCAAGTGTGAAACTAAAGATTTAGCAGCTGATGAAAAGACAAAATGTAATGTGAGACCATTTTCTGGCACTCTTAGACTATAAAACCATAAGATATAGGAGCAGAATAAGGCCATTTAGCCCATTGAGTCTGCACTGCCATTAGATCACGGCTGATATGTTTCTCAAACCCATTCTCCTGCCTTCTTCCTGTAACCCTTGATCCTCTTACTAATTAAGAACCTATCTATCTCTGGATCCTGTTACTAATCAATAATCTACCTATCTCTATTTGAAATACTCTCAACGACTTGGCCTCCACAGCCCTTTGTGACAATGAGTTCCACAGATTAACCACCCTCTGGCTGAAGAAATTTTCCTCATCTCAGTTCTAAAAGGTCATCCCTTTATTCTGAAGCTATTCCCATCTTCAGCATGTCCACTCTATTCAGGTCTCTCAGTATTCTATGTATAGTTTTCAATCAGATTCCTCCCCGCACCCAATCCTTCTAAACTTCAAGTACAGACAAAGAGTCCTCAATTGCTCCTCAAATGACAGGCCCTTCATTCTTGGGATCATTCTCGTAAACCTCTGGACCCCTTCCAACAGCAGCACATCCTTCCTTAGATACAGAGCCCAAAACTGCTGACAATATTCCAAATGCGGTCTGACCAGAGCCTTCTACAGCCTCAGCAGTACATTCCTGCTCTTGTATTCTAGCTCTTGCTTTCATCAAAATGAGAAGTATCAGCAGGCTGACAGTGCAATTTTGTGGTAGAAATAATATTTTTCTCACGCAGTTTTAAAAATACATAGAGAATAGACTGGTCTCCCTAAATAATTAATTTGTTCATTAATTTGTATTTGTTCATATATGTTGATTTTTCGAATAGAGGATGACCTCTCCAGTAAACAAAAGCAATCAAGCCATCCCATCTTCAGAACTAGCATTACACTATCTATTCCCAATATAACCATGATACCTGCACTGGATGAAGTACAACAGGCTTTGAATAAGACAGTGGAATATATTGTCAGTGTCCCAAAAGGAGTTGGCCAGTGGAGTAAAGAAAGAATTTCAAAGGTTTGTTTTGATCTTTAATGATTTTATCTTTTACTGTTTAGCTATTACAATTGATTGTCAGTTTTTGAATTGATATTTGCTTCCATTTCTTGTCTGTAGAACAAAATGAATGAAAGAAAGATTGCAGCAATGAGACGTGGCAGCAGAGACAGTGATTCTGAAGATGGAGTCCCAGAAATTACTGTCAGAAGTATTCTCGGTAATGCACATTTCAAGTGATTCAAATTATTACCAGATTGTTGTAATTATTAAGTTATTGCACTTACTAACACAGACACAGGTACGAAAGAGTTATCCATTCAGTCAAATTTCCATGACCTTTCCCCATAAATCAGTAATTTTCAAATTATCATAGATATAGACGTATGCATTGGAGAATATTGATAACTGCAGTCCCTTGCAGACCTAATAATCTGATGCTTAAAATCAAAACAGACAATTTTTTTGTCAGACAGGTTGGATAGTTGCACAGAAATAGGAATTACTGATATCTTTTCAGTTATGAATTTAAATGCTGTTATCACTTTCACATACTCTATAATGCAATTAGAAGTAAAATTACTCCCAACATGTCATGCTAAAATTAAGCTGGGGTTCATGAATATTTGACTTGCTGTGATGTGCCTCTTTATTCAATGTTATTTAATTTGTGATACCTAAATTCTCTTACTTAGTCGTTATCAATGCAATTTATTTTAGTGTAAATTCTGAAATGGTGTATAATCTACAAGGGATTAAGTATCAGTTGGTGGGTTTTAATCTCCTTTTGTTTGATATCCTCTCTTTTAGATGGCAGCATGTCAGAGACCTCTACATCTGTAAACTTGCTTATCCCCATCCAAATGAAGAACTACTACAAAATTGTTTCAGAGAACAAGGAGATCATTAAACTAGTATCAGTGCTAGGTACAGCTATTAATTCCACCAAAAAGGTAACTTTGCTTCTTAAAAATGTTATTTAAGTGGAAGAATATAATTATACCAAATTTTATACATAGTTATACATAGAAAATGGAAAATCTTGCAACTTAACACCACACGAGGAATTTGTAGACTTTATCCTATTAGAGCCAATGGTAACATTAAGCGTTAAAAATTAAATCAATGTTTACTATGGGATGACCTCAGCGATAATTATATAATATCCTTTAGATTTCTATGTAAAATTGGAAAATTTATAGTTAATTATAATGTCAAATTTAAAAAAGAGTTGCAAATGGAAGGGGATTTGACTAACAAGTGAACTATAACATAGACATTTTGAGATGTAAAGATTAAATTAAAATTACCATTTAGTTTGACCATCAAGAATTGATCTGTTCACTTGCACCAAGACCTATCGAGAAACTCACGACCCTGTATGGACATCATTCTAAAACTGAGGGACAGTCATGGACAATTAACCAAAAATCATGAGAGTATTTGTTGAATGTGTTGAATTGGTTTTTTTTTTTAAAGTGATATTTGTGTTTGAATCAGGAGAATTAAAAAGCAGTAATTTGAAAGAGTCTGACTTGAATTGGAGTTTAATACTGAAGCATGGTAGGTTTAAAGCTGTGTTTATTAGTTTCAGAATTGATTTAGTGCAACAGAAGAGTGGAAATCAGTGTTTTGTGCACTTCTATGGTGTTGGAGTCCCTGGAAGCCAAAAGTGACCAAGACAAATAAAGGTGTCACAAATAAAAGAAAAATATCGTGGATGCTAGAAATCTGAAACTAAAGAGAAAATGCTGGAGAAACTCAGCAGGTCTGGGCAAGTGCCTTCAAATAGATTCTGCTAAACTGAACACACTCAGCTAAAGTGACTATTAGAGACAATTTATATAATAATGTGGAGGGAGTAATTTCTGGGGCAAATGTTACAAAAGAAGATTAACCCACGACCAGGACTAATAGGAAATTTCAAGGAGTTAGTTAAGTACACCTAATGATGTGGCATGGGTAACTATATTCTTCTGGAATTTGCTTGACTGTCTTAGAGAAACTAGAAGGAATTTGCCAGCGATTTTCCGAAATAATCTGTAAGAATAAAACAAGGAAGGTGGCTTAACCGCGGCTAACAAGGGAAATCAGAAACAGTGTTAAAGCCAAAGAGGAGGCATATAAATTGGTCAGAAAAAGCAGCAAACCTGAGGACTGGGAGAAATTTAAAATTCAGCAGAGGAAGACAAAGGGTTTAATTCAGAAAGGTAAAATAGAATATGAAAGTAAGTTTGCAGAATACAAAAACTGACTGCAAAAACTTCTATAAATATGTGAAGAGAAGAAGACTGGCAAAGACATATTTAGGTCACTTGTAGTTAGAATCAGGTAAATTCATAATGAACAACAAAGAGATGGCAGACCAGTTGAACAAATACTTTGGATCTGTCTTCACTAAGGAGGACACAGATAATATTCAGAAAATGCTAGGGGACAGAGGGTTAAGCGTGAAGGAGGAACTGAAGGAAATCCGTATTAGTTAGGAAATAGTATTGGGGAAATTGATGGGATTAAAACTTGATCAGTCATTAGAATCTGATGTTCTGAACCACAGAGTACTTAAGGAATTGGTCCTAAAAATAGCAGATGCATTGGTGATCATTTTCCAGCATTCTGTTGACTCTGGAAGAGTTCCAATGGACTAGAGGATAGCAAATGTAACTCCATTCTTTATAAATGGAGGGAGAGAGAAAATGGGGAATTATAGACTAGTTAGCCTGACATCAGTGGTAGGGAAAATGCTGGAGCCAGTCATTAAGGATGCAATAATTGAGCATTTGAATAGCCGTGACAGAATCAGTCCAAGTCAGCATGGATTCACTAAAGGAAATCATGCTTGACAAATCTTCTGGAATTTTTTTAGGATGTGACCAGTAGAGTAGACAATGGTGAATCGGTAGATATTCTGTATCTAGGCTTTCAAAAGTCTTTTAACAAGATTCCACACAAGAAATTAATAAGCAAAAATAAAGTTCATGGTATCGGAGATAATGTATTGACATGGATAGAGAACTGGTTGGCAGATAGGAAGCAGAGAGTTGAAATAAACGGGTCCTTTTCAGAGTGGCAGGCAGTTAGGAGTGGGGTGCCTCAATGTTCGGAGCTGGCACCTCAGCTGTTCCCATTATGATTTGGACAAAGGAATTGAATGCTATATCTTCAAGTTTGCAGATGACCCTAAGCTGGATGCCAGTGTGTGCTGTGAGGAGGATGCAAAGAGGTTGCAGGGTGACTTGGACAGACTGGCTGAGTAGGCAAATACTTGGCAAATGCAATATAGTGTGGATAAATGTAAGTTTATTATCTGAATGGTGGCAGTTTAGGAAAAGGTGAGGTGCAATGAGACCTGGGTGTCATGGTGGAACAGTCACTGAAGATTGGCATGCAGGTGCAGCAGGAATGTTCTCCTTCATAGCAAGAGGATTTGAGTATCGGAGTAAGGGTATCTTGCTGCAGTTATACAGGGCCTTGGTAAGGCTACACTTTGAGTATTATGTGCAATTTTGGTCTCCTATTCTAAGGAAGGACATTCTTGCTATTGAAGGAGTTCAGCGAAGGTTCACCAGACTGATTCCTGGGGTGGCAGGACTGACATATGAAGAAAGATTGGGTCCACCGGGCTTGTACTCAATGCAATTTAGAAGAATGGTGGGGGTGGGGGGAAAGATCTCATGGAAGCATACAAAATCCTGATGGGACTGGACAGGCTGGATGCAAGAAGAATGTTCCCAATGTTGGGGAAGTCTAAAGCAAGGGATCACAGTTGAAGAATAAAGGGTAAGTCTTTCAGGACTAAAATGAGGAAGAATTTCTTCACTTAGAGAGTTGTGAACCTGTGGATTTCTCTGCTATAGGAAGCTGTTGGGGCCAGTTCATTTGGTATATTCAAGAGGGAGCTGGACGTGGCCTTTGCAGCTAAAGGGATCAAGGGGTATGGGGAGAGGGCGGAAATGGGATACTTAGATTGCAGGATCAGCCATGATCATGGTGGTGCAGGCTCAAAGGGCTGAATGATCTACTCCTGCACCTATTTTCTATGTTTCTATGTTTTTAAACCACAATTCGCAATGTTTCCTTCTCCTTGCGTGCAATGTATGAATTTGCACAGTTCGACAGAGAAATGAGCAGTGAAGGACTTAACAGTCCTTCCTCAACTTCCTTTTCTCAAATCCAACCTGTTTCGTGCAACTGTTATCATCCATTTAATTATTTAATTAACATGAATGCAGAGAACTTTTATTCTGTTGAGATTTCCTGTGTAATTCTATTTATATGGAAATGAATTATAATGCTCAAGGGTGTTTAGACACTTTTGTGTAAAGCTATTTTTCTTGACTAACAACCTTCACTAAAAACATCCTGGATGTTCACATTTACCAGAAACTGAACTAGACCAGCTATCTAAATACTCTGCCTACAAGGGCATGTCAGAACCTGTGAATTCTGAGATGAATAACTCAGTTCATGAGTCCCAAATGCCTCCATCTACAAGGTACAAGTCAATAGTGTGAGGAATACTCCCTACATGCCTGGATGAGTGCAGCTCAAACAACATTCAGGAAGCTTGACACCATCCAAGACAAAGCAACATGCTTGATTGACACCATACTCATCACCTTCAACATGCATTCCCTTTACCGCCAATGTACAGTGGCCATAGTTTGTACCATCTACAAGATGCACTGCGGTAACTCACCAAGGCTGCTCTTACATCATCTTGCAAATTCACGACCTCTTCCATCGAAAAGAACAGGGGCAGCAGATGCATCGCAGCAACAACAACTCCAAGTGTCTTTCCAAACTCCACCCTGTCCTCTTTTGGAATGATAGCACCATTCCTTCTGTGTCACTTGATCAAATCCTGGAATTGCCTTCCTAACAACATTGTGGGTGATTAAGAAGGCAGCTCGTCACCACAGGGCAATAGGATGCGCAATAAATGCTGACCTAGCCAGTGATGGCCATAGCTCATGAATTTAAACAGTAGATGATATTAAGGTTTCCCTACACTCAACAAAATAAAATGAATAGACATAAATTTTGGAATAAAAATAATAGTGAAATTGGATGCTATTGCTGTTTCTATGAATCTGAAACTGACAACAGTTTCTGGTGTTTACTTAATATTGGACATATTAATGATCATGACTAATGGCCTTTACAATGCATACAAAAAGTGGATCAACTGAGTCTGCAAGTTTAACTATATCCCACAAAGTGCAAGTATAACTGGAAATTTGCATGAATATTCAATACAAAATGAACAAAATAAATAGAACTATGGACAGAATCATTTTCTTTTGGCTTAGCATCAGTCTTGTCATTGAGGGTTTTTCTCCATGAGACCAAGCAAGGTTTCTCACTGCATCTAATCAAACTGACCTCATTAAATACCTGCTCCGTCCATATGGCATGGCTCTGGTCCAAATCTAGCCCCATTTTGTCACTTTAATTGAAACAACTTGCCATTGTCAGGATATCCCAGAATGGACTGGCATTCTTGGCGTCAGAGCCACCTTGAAGAGGTCATTATGCTCTTGGACGGGGACTGTTAGTCCAGAGCTGCTATGCACAGTTCTTGATATTTGCCTAGACGTGGAAGAGAATGGAAATTGATGTTCCACTTTGCAGGAAGGGATCTTCAGGTTCTAATAGATAGGATGTTGCAGAGGTGGGATGTCCTCTATCCCCACAACAAGCAGAAGAGGTCATGACATCAGACCATGCCAACCTTATCCAAAGTCAGTGAAGTCTTGGAGACAACAAGGTGCAGAGCTGGATGAACACAGCAGGCCAAGCAGCATCATAGGAGCAGAAAG